TCTCGATTCTCAACTTTCTCTAAAACATTCTTACAATACTAATTCTAATTAATTACAAATTTACAATACCTATATATTTAATAGAAGCCTTATATTACAACAGTAAAATACAATTTACAATAAGCCCTCTACAGTGTTTTTTGCAATAAGATTTATCTCTTCCGAAAAAAACGAAACTAATGGAAATTTTTAACGTCGGCGGGAAATTTCTGCCTCACAGCTAAGATTGAGTTTGCCCACGTACGCCGCTCAACAAGCATACGATAGTTTAATAAAAAATATTCGCAGAAAAAATGCAAGATAAGGCGTCGTATACGTGGCCTTCACCGCGACAAAATAATTTGTGCAAGCTGCACTTGTTCGGCGAACAGCGGACGAACTTTAATTAATTAATTAATTAATGTCCGACTTAATCTTATTGAACAACATATAACATTTTCGTGCATACACTTCTCATTTGTATCTGCGTAATTAAGTTCACTTCAGTAAATTCATTTTCCAGTTTTGGCTCATAAACTGATCCTGTCTCATTAATTTTATTTCAATACGACAGCAAAAAATTTAATCGGAGAAAACCTCAAACTTCTCCCTACAATTTTTCCAGATTATGTGCTAAATTGAACATGTGCTGACCAATTGATGTATAAATTGATTCACTAATTCATCATATTAACTCTATTGGTTGTTCCTATGTTGAATTTGCGAGTTCAGCATCACATGTTTTATTTCTCACTCAGAATCTCGTCTTCGAATGTTACCTTCCACTGCAAGAAGAGCCTTTATTTTGTTTCTTATGGTGTCGCTCTCTTAACACTTGAATTGTCGTGTTAACTAAAATATGCCGAGGTCATGCTTACGCTGTTGTTTACCAACCACTCGATTTCGATTGAAACAATGCTGAAGAAATGGGGAGGATCGAGACTCGATCGCACCGTGACATAGTATTGCTCACATAGCGTGGCGTGAAGTGCAGTTGTCCGACAATCAACTGCTCTTGAAACAACTCATGTAAATGTAGTACTGTTAAAGTGAAAATAAGTTGATAGGTACATCCTAGTGACCAAGAGATTTATATAAACCTTTTCATTTTAAATTAAACTCCACCAGGGTATCAACATATCGCTACTGGAGTCCTGGTGGTTGAGGCTACTGAGTGGCTGTGGTGCATGATCGATGCATATAGATATTCTACAGGTATTGGGAGGTTGGAATAACATACTAATTCATACTATTTATTAAAAAATTGATCAGTTTACTGGAATATCCGTTATGTATAATGAATGCATTTGCCTGTACTTGACCTGAATGCTGGACCTCTTCCAGCGTGAGTGAATGAGCGGTGTCGCACTCACTAATAATGATGGCTCCAATGATCATTTTTATTTTTTTGCTCCTGCCGAGCAAAAAAACACACTTCTGCACGGTCACTCAGAGACGCTTCACGCGGATGGAGTTTTTAATTTACGGATAATATGATCATAAAAGTCTGAGCTGTTTTTCTGCCAGAGGTGATATTTCAGTTGTGTTTTTCGCAGCTACTTTAACTTCTTGTGAATGAAGTTGGTCTAAAGACTTTTTTTTTGCTCTCAGGTTCTGAGTGAAGAAATTTTAACGGAAAAACACATTGGACGGTGCAAGCGTAAGCATTTCATCAATAATTCGTGTCAAATCTGATGACGCGAATACTCTCATAAGAAGACAATTATAAGGTTTTGACTTAATTACAACACTTCTCTTTAACTTCACTTCTTGTCTGTCTGTCTGTCTGTCTGTCTGTCTGCTACAAATCTTGTAATCGAAATTTAATACACTTCTACTAATCCTATCGATCTGAAATTTTGCACACTTGTGTAAAGTTGGAGACAATGCATACAGAGGCAATGCATGAATCAATTAATAGAATAAATAATTTTGAAAAAATTATATATTAAAAATTTATATATTAAAAAAATTGAAAAACTAATTTTTTAATTTGAAAATTAAATGAGAAATTCATTGTACATTTGTAAGATTGGAGACACTGGATTCTTTTGAAGTGTTGTCTTTAAAAAGTAATTTTTAAACGCATATTATTTTGAATACTTAATTCTTCACTTATTTTATACGGAGACATCAAGAACTGCGCCCGAGCCATTGAAAAGAATTCTAAATTCTAATTTTGCGAGGATTTATTGGCAAATGCACCCATGACATTTTCGTAGACAATCCTTTCTAAGAGACGAAATTATAATCTTACCCTATATGCATAAGATTTACGGAGGATATAAAAAAACATTGTTTACTACGACTATTATCTACTTCTACTAAAATCTACTTCTCGGTGTGCGGCTGAAGTTAAGCGGTGGTGAACTGGCGACGGCGTTGACCTGTGATCGCTAAATCCTTTGATGCTCCACCCCCAGGTTTTGCACCACCTCCAGGTTTTGCACCACCTTTGATGCACCAACTCCTGGTTTTGCACTGCCTTTGATACACCACCTCCTGGTTTTGCACTGCCTTTGATGCACCACCTCTTGGTTTTGCACTGCCTTTGTTGCACCACCTCCTGGTTTTGCACTGCCTTTGATGCACCACCTCCTGGTTTTGCACTGCCTTTGATGCACCACCTCCTGGTTTTGCACTGCCTTTGATGCACCACCTCCTGGTTTTGCACCACCTTTGATTCACCACTTCCAGGTTTTGCACCACCTTTGATGCACCACCTCCAGGTTTTGCACCACCTTTGATGCACCACCTCCAGGTTTTGCACCACCTTTGATGCACCACCTCCAGGTTTTGCACCACCTTTGTTGCACCACCTCCAGGTCTTCATTATTCTTAATTTTCACGAGGCTGCCAATGCTTTATCTCTGAATTGAAGAGATCATCCACAAGCTGGGCGTTAATTATGACATAGTTAATTGCACCAAAAAATCAATGCAAAAGAACATGTAATTGCAAGAATTAGATAGACTAATGCAAATAAAATAAATATTCAAAGGCATATTTATAAACATACGAAAAATTTATTAACCTGCGGCCATACTTTCAAAGCTCGCTAAGTGAACGTAAGTACTTACGCTCTATTTTCTTGTCAATTATTGGTGGATTTTGCTTGAAAGGCCTTCAATGATTGGCTGATGAACTTACGAACTCTTAACTTTTTTTGAAAGTATGGGCCCTGGCGATTAAACAGCTTTTCATGGTAGGTTTTGGTAATGATTTTGTGGCTAATGATTTTTGAATAGCAAAGAATTAAATGAAAGTTGTTGCAGGGTTGTTGTTCTAATAATATAACTGATTGAGTCTTTCATAATAATAAATAAGTTTTATGTTATAACCTATCACCTATCCATAACTGTTTTTATTTTTTTTAACTCAAATCACTTCGAACGATGATTTAACATTTCATTTCATGCATGGGAATTTCGTGGAACCTTTCCACAGCGAGGTCATTACCTTCCCCAACGTTAGCTTTCCGGTGCTGGAGGATATTTCACGACAAATAGAATTTTGAAAGAACTTTAATTAGTGATGGTATATAGGTTCTGGCCTTGATATGTGATTCGTTTAGGGTTTGAGGCATTCAATGCAATTGGTTGATGATTGGGATCTATATATACGTTTTCGGTTTGTTGATATTAGGCCTTGCTTTTGCTGAATATTGTGTCATCTCCTATGTGCATTATTCCTTGAGAATTTGGCATTAGAGGGCAGTTAGAATGTATTCCGTATTGTAACTCATCGTCAGTAGTTTCACTTTGTATTATTCGCCCCCAGTTCAAGTTGCCACTATTGGTAGAATTACAGTCTCAGCCCATGTATTATATGCCCATCACCTCTCATTCACTTATGTCATAACAACAACATTTCAGACACGATGTCCGCGTTCTCAACGCGCAGTTATTCAGCTTGTTTAAAAGTCCATATAGTAATATAATGAACGGCCATATTGTACCTGTTTCTTAAATAAGGGTCATTGGCATCATGTAAGTATTAGTACTGGTAATTACTTACAATGTCTGAATTCGAAACAATTGTTAAGGAAGTATTGTTTCTCGGAATTGGGTGTAAAGTGTATTTCTTGATGCCTAGAATCTTGTGCGCCTCTCAGAGAGCTGAGGGCGTCACAATTAACAGCGCTCCAGTGAGCCTTTAATTGTATGGCAGCGACAGCTGCTGCATCGCCAGGCTGGCAAAAAACGTTTTTTTCTGCAAAAAGTAATCTTTCTGCGTGAAAAAATTGCCTAGTCAGAACGAAATGTAAACAGTCCCTAATACAATTAAAAAATTTAGTTGGTACAATTTCACTCGCATTTGAGCTTTGGCTGTCTCTGTGTGTGCCAGCGCAATTTTAATTAGTTACTCTTTGGAAGATGCAATTTGATAATGAAGCTATGCTATTGAAAAGAATAACAGTTTCTATTCACATACATGTTGCATATTAATTATAATTAGTCTAATTAGCTGACTGTATTACATTACAACATTAGCTATATTAATTTGATATTGGACAAGTACAAAGATTAATGGGTATCAACGTATCGCCACTGCAGTACTGGTGGCGGAGGTCTTAGCTGCTGTGGTGGTTGAGGCATAAATATTCTATAGGTATTGGGAGGGTAGAATTTGGATGACAGGGAATTATTATTTGACACAGGGAGTGATCATGAAAATCGGGGATTGGGCATTGGGTATGAGGGATTTTATTGCATTTAGACCGAAATTAATGTCGATAGCTTTGTGAAAAAATTGCATAGGACGTTACACCAAGGAAAGACATTGCTAGCATGAATGTATTTGGAAGTATCGATTAATTATTAACTATACGATATCAAACGTAGCGAATCTGGAAGTTTTTGGTATCATGCGACCTCCCCTACCGCCATCTAGATACCTAAAGTTGGCCTCTTAATCTCAAAATGGTGCTCTGGGGAAATGTCCCCAAAAATTGTGGCGACTTTTTTCTGGATTTTGACATATTGCCAACTTTTAGCCGTCCCCTTAAGATATTTACGAATTTACGAAATCAGGTTTTCCGGGATTGGTCCTTGAGCCACCGCAGCAAAAACAAACCTATAGACAGCGTTCTTTTTGCTAGATTTTTTCGCTAATAAGCGGAGCTGTGCCGCCTTGGCTGACTTGGCTGACTCAGCGGGCTGTGCCGCCTTGGCTGACTCCGCGGGCTGTGCCGCCTTGGCTGACTCCGCGAGCTGTGCCTCCTTGGCTGACTCAGCGAGCTGTGCCGCCTTGGCTGACTCAGCGGGCTGTGCCGTCTTGGCTGACTCAGCGAGCTGTGCCGCCTTGGCTGACTCCGCGGGCTGTGCCTCCTTGGCTGACTCCGCGGGCTGTGCCTCCTTGGCTGACTCCGCGGGCTGTGGCGCCTTGGCTGACTCCGCGGGGATGTGCCGCCTTGGCTGACACCGCGAGCTTCTAGCGCCTTTCATGTTTAATTCTAGAACCCTCATGCTCTGTAACTAAAACATGAACCTAATATAAGATGTAGTGCAGATACCGGAATGAACGCTGTTTGCGCATTTCCTTAAAATACGGAAATAGCTAAGCAATATCTCTTCGTATAGTATCATATACTTGATGAAACCAAATTACTTTAAAGCTTAATAGTTTTCATATATTTTTAGCGCACTTTCTCATTTATGGAAAATAAGGCGATATTGTGCTCGTCATGTCCGGACGGACAGACAGACGTGAGAAAATGCGCTTTCAGTCATTCGCTCCAGTGAGTACTGATCTTATTTTTTATGCTTAATTTGGCATAATACTAAATTTTTAAAACGAAATTATTACATGTGAAACATTTTTCGACTGCAATTTACTCTTTCCATTTGCTGAATTTTGGAACATGTTCGTGAATAAATGCATCCCAGAAATGGACACACTTTCCTGCACAAGACTTAAAATTTATAAATTTTCCTTATTTTATGTGTGCTCGTCAAAAGGTTATGCAATCTTTCACTAATTGTATTTGCTTGCAGCACTTAAATGCTGGCAGTTCAGGAAATTTCAATATAAAAAATATCCCATTATAATTTTTCGAAATAACGTGCAACGAATTATGTGAAAAAACTGGTCCGATCCTTTGGTCATTCCGTATTTATTTTGCCTCTGAAGTGTGCCAGTTTTTTGTCTTAGTTTCTGTACTTCTGGCTTTTCCTTTACTGTTTCTGTATGGATCAAAGTCACTTATTGGTGTGCCGTATTCCTGATGTGTAAGGTTAATTCGATTTGTTAATCTGATATTTACCCTTCAAATCCTCTCTATTTCACCCACACCCGATTACCGAACTGTATTCAAATCTTGACAATAATGTTGCTTCAGGGTGCTGATGTAAAGAAAAAGTATGCATTGTTATCGAGTGGATCTACGGTTTTATGTATTTTAAAAATTCTGCTATCATATATAGTATATATCTGAATAAAATTTCAAGCAGTCTTGTTGCTGCGCACTGATGCTTAAAACTAGTCTGAACCTGCAGTTACGCTGATTATAATGTGTAGTTGATTGCAGCAGCTCAGCTTCAAGTTAAAACGTAAATTTTACGAATAATTTGCAACATATTTATGGCTCTATTGACATATTTATGGTGCTCGTAACATATTTCTGCACTTGGAACATATTCACGGAACTTGTAACATATTCACGAACATGTAACATAATCAGGCACATGCTACATATCCGCGCACTTGTAACATATATCACGCACTTGTAACATATTCACGCACTTGTAACATATGCCACGCACTTGTAACATAATCACGCACTTGTAACATATTCACGCACTTGTAACATATAATATTCACGCTCTTGTAACATATTCACGCACTTGTTACATATTCACGCACTTGTAACATATATCACGCACTTGTAACATATTTACGCTCTAGTAACATATTCACGCACTTGTAACATATACCACGCACTTGTGTTTGTAACACATTCATGCACTTGTAACATATTTACGCTATTGTAACATATTCACGCACTTGTAACATATCCACGCACTTGTAACATATACCACGCATTTGTAACATATCCGCGCACTTGTAACATATTCATGCACTTATAACATATTTGCGCTCTAGTAACATATTGACGCACTTGTAACATATGCCACGCACTTGTAACATATTTACGCTCTTGTAACATATTTACGCTCTTGTAACATATTTACGCTCCTGTAACATATATACGCTCTGGTAACATATTTACGCTCTTGAAACATATTCACGCTCTTGTAGCATATTCACGCTCTTGTAACAAATTCACGCACTTGTAACATATCCATGCTCTTTTAACATATTCATGTACTTGCAACATATTCATGCACTTGTAACATATCCACGCAATTGTAACATGTTCACGCTTTTATAACGTATTTATGTATTTGTAACATACCCGCGCACCTGTAACATGTTCAGGCCCTTGTAACATGTTCACGCTCATGTGACATGTTAACGCTCCCGCAACATATTCATGCACTTGTAACATATCCACGCACTTTCATCATATCCACGAACTTCGTATCATATTAATGATAAAAATATTTACGAAAACTGAGATACAGTACCCATTTCTTCCCTAAAATTAGCAGGTAGATAACCATATGATATAACTTATTCATTTCAGAGCATTCTCATTGATTTGACTAACATTACTCTAATTATGTATGCGGATAAACGGCGTAGATATACTGCAATTATCTGTGGAGTAACATAATATTAATATTAGACAGCTATACTAGACATATACGTTTGTCACGAGCAAGATATGCAACTAATAATATAAAACTACAATGATTAGTTGTGCTGTGTGGCCTGTTATGAATTATGCCTGTTTGTGCTATTTGCCTGTTACGAAAATTTCAGCAGCCTTTTCACTAAGTGTTGCGTCTATATATGTTTCTAAATTGTTCTTATCAACACATATACTATGTGTTGATAAAAAGAGTACCATAAATCTAGTTATTCGGGTCCTACACCGCTATGTCACAACCTTAACCAGAGGATAACCAAATTTTCTGCTTGAACTTAACACGTGTACAGTTAAACCCAAACGAAACGTTAACCTGAGCGCCACGATCGAGTAACCTTCCGCAATAGATTGAAATTAATAGAGTAACCTTCCGCAATAGCTTAATAGAGTAACCTTCCGCAATAGAATTAATTTTAGGCTTAAGTTGGTTTTCTGTCTTATTCAGATAAGAATCCACCCAACCGCCTCTACTTGGTCTTCAACTCTGCCGTTTCTGTTTTTTTGAGCAGAACTTCTTGCTTATATGTTCTGTTGCCACCGGCAATATATGGTGAGAATTGGAGAGAGAGACATATTCACCCTGAAAAAGTGACTATTTCAACTGATATTGTGTTCTGAACTCCTATCGTTCGAACTTGTACTTTATGTGAGAACTTATTCTTCTACAGTGCACGAGTTCCTCATCGCACTTCGTGCTTTTCATTACCTCCTGGCTTCGTACTGCGAACCTATTCTCTTTTCGGAACTACAACAATAAAAGTTTCAACGCTTTCTTTGTTCTTTAATTTCCAATTGTACCAAAATTCAATAATTGAAGAGAATAATCTTTTTATTATACAGTATGATATGTATATTTATCGAATTTGACTTGGTAGTTGAAAATTAATAACGTGAACGCTACTGTAATTTGAAATTATTTATTGGGAGATCATTTGACCACTGGCTTCCAACTATACGTCATCCAACAAACACAAATGCAGATCTCGACGCCAACAGGCAGAGTAGGTGTATCATGTATACGACGCGAACAGAGTAGGAGTATCATGCAGAATATGAATGTATTGATGATATTTCATTCGATAAATCCTCTTAGTTTTATAATGTCTTCTTCCTATCTTCTATAACCATTACAACTTTCATTACTTCTGATGAATAAAAACAAAACAAGTTTATTATTAAGTTCCTCAACCTCTGTAAGACGCAGGCAGCCAGCAAAGCCGGTGTGAACGCCAGTGAAAGTTATATGCTGCCTTATTGTCTTACCCATAGTACATAGTTCAAGGTATAGTATGAAACACCTCAGCATTTGCTTGTTTTTACAAGAAAATGAAAATGAATATTGTTGGACAAAACTTTGAGGAACGAGCTGATAAATGAAGATATAGGCAAGCAAAACAAGAATGGACTGGAGGCTAAAGAAATTTCTTTATTTAAAAAGTTTCAAGATGGTATAAATAGCCATCAATTCCACGAGATAGTTAGTTTGGTGCTGCCTAATTTTGGTAGCGGCTCCTCTTCAATAAGCGTGAAGAGGCAAAGGAGCCGCAACTCGCTCCTGCGTCTGCCCAACCCGAAAATTCTGAAGAAAAGGAAACGGTGATCAGGCAAGGCACAAAGCTCAGCTCAAAGTAGGCGAAAAAACGCTCGATGCAATAAAAGGTCTTAAATGACAAAGTTTGCAATCGTAGCAAAAGTAGGTCGAGCTGGTGCAACTTGCTGCCACACGTTCCGAGTTAGAGCAATCTTTATTATTGGATAATCATGAATGAAGTCTTAAAATTACCAATAAATATTAGAGTATGGATAATTACGGGCTTTATTATTTATTCGGGTTTCAAGTGAAAAGGAACAGGATTTAACACCTCATCACCGCTTGCTCCGTGCCTACGAAGATAGGGTGACGTACCTGAAGTGCTAAAAAATCCTTCGGTGAATCGCTGGTGAGGTGCCGCTTCTTGGAGCTGATCCACGCCCGCGCAGAGGTAAGATGCCGGGGTCAAGGTAGTGGTATCATCCAAAACGTCAGGTGTACCATCGAGGTAAGTCGTAGCGCAGACGACATCCACTTCAGCACGTGCCCACGCATGCGTCCAAAGTCCCGACCGAGCTCAAGCTAAGCTTCCATGGGTGGCTTTAATCCATAGTTTCCAAGGTGAACAGGAGCCAAAGATTCTTGAAAAGGTTAGTCCATACTATCTAACTTGAAGCGTAGACAGGAGAGTTTCAACAATGAATCTGGCCCAAAGCAGCACCTTAGGAGTTGCTGCCGTGAGGTCAGGCAACGAACTGGCACAAATTCTTCAGAGAAAGTGGAGTTAAGTATTGGGCGAGATGTTAGTTTCACGTGGAATGTGCACATTAAAACTACTTCAAACGTCACCCAAATCATTTGTGGCACAGAGCAGGTGAGGATGGAAAATTTATGCCCGAAATTTATCAAACATTAAATTAATGAAAACTAAATCATAGTTTTTTGATCAATTGTTAGTGAAGGAATTAATGATTAACTCTCCTAATGATTAACTATGATGATTAACTCTAATGATGATGATGATTAACTCTCCTAGATTTATCGGGATTATATGAGAATGGTAATCTAAATTCACCAAGCAGTGAAGCAAGATTTTCTGACGAAACTTGAAGAGAGGAAGGATTATTTAAAACTACAGCCGCCGTGATCGAGAATCTTATTTATTGAAGTAGCCATTTCAACCCATGGTCATGTTATTACTTACAATGCTTAGTTGCTATAACTCATATAGTTTATTACATCGTTTTTTATACGCATACAATATTTCATGGAATTCGTTTACAAATTGTCTTTTACATAATTTTCCAATGTGTACATACTAATTTAATACATATTTCCACCAGACGGTCTCAACGAGCAAAAAGGCTCACCGTCTCATCGTAATATTAACGACGCCGAAGAGCATTAATTAAAATTTCAAAAGAATCCGGTAGAATAAAGATTTAAAATTAGTGGTTTACGTGTCTGCAAAGAACTAAAAAATTATCAGGCAAATATTTGAGAAATGTACTCAATTGTTTTAATTGTTGGTGTGAATAATGAGCTGTTTGACTTATGAAAAATCCATTGAAATATTTCTATTCACAATATTCCGATTGAATTTATTCATCAATTAATTATTCACGAATGAATGCAAATAATTGCAATTATCTTCGAAAATTTGTGCAGGCATTGTTGAATCTTGACATAGCTCATATAATGAAGCTGAACGGAGATTCTCTGATAATTAGAAACTATATATAACTCTGCGCTAAGAAAATGTCTGCTATAGTAGAAATATCGCTATAAGAATAGTGTCAGCAAAGAGCTATTTTCTCTAAATACGCCTTATCATTTGAATCGACATGTCCTAAATCTCTTTGGTATTGAGGGAATACAATTATCAAATTGGAAATACCTATATATGGTTCATTGAAAAATCGCTCCTGAAGAAACAATTCGAAATTCGTTCGACCAAAGTGAAGAGGGCAACAACATTCTTCACATATTACATGGTTCACATTTCCTAGCATTATTAGGGAGGAAAGTGCTATCAAACATTTGTTCTCATCTTACGTGTGTTATAATGGAGCTGAACGATTGAAGCTATGATGCAAATTGCGTTGTTTTGATAGATAATAATTGCTGGAACGAGCTTTTTAACGGGAATAAAAATCCCAATCTACTTTCACACATGTAGACTCAGGAACCCAGGCGAAGATAAAGCTAACGAATAAATGATTAATTTTACCATAATTTTCAAAGCGATGCGAGCAAAATCAAATTCAGGTCAGTGAAGAGTAGATAATTCATCAGATTTATCAAAAGGTATGTATTTTTAAATACTAGCGTTGAACTCTATAGTTTTAACATAACGTATAAATGGAGCGGTTTCAAATGAGCATGAGCGATATATTTAGGACCACTAAAACTTGAGCGTATTTTAAAGTTGTTCTTACAAAAAATATTCATGGTAAAAGTGCTCAAGTTCTAGCATGTCGAGTCGAAAACAATTACACGAAACGAGGCTTAAATAAAAGATCCTATAAACAGCTCGAGCCTTCGTTAAACGCCGACATATATAAGATAGTAGGCACTCTAAAGAGTACAGGATGTATATAGACTAACGATGTTAGGTAACGTGCATACAATAACGTTTAGATTATAACAAATTTATGTTCATGTTCTGATACACCTGGGAAAAAATTTAATTCATTTGGCTAATACTTAGACACCACAATAATTCAAGTTTCACTTATAAATAAAAATTTTGTAAGATTAGATGACGGAACGAATGACTTTGCGCTGTCTCCCATTATCCTTATCCAGTGAACCACCAGCTTTGTTTCGGACTTTAGTGCCCAAATTTGAGTTTTCAGTAACATTTCCTTCCTCAGAGAGTTCTTCACCAGATGACCTAACGTCTGCGAAGCCTTTATCCTTAGATAATTTCATTTTTATTGCTTTGACGAGCTCCACGGTCCACATGCAGTGAAGGAAAAGCAAAATAAGAGATAAAGCCGATCCCAAGTAAAGTGCCGGCCAAATACGGAAACCTAAAGTAAAATATTTTGTGAAAATTGGTTTAATAACCATCATTGGATAAAGCACAAGTCTAGTTATTATCCAGACCACAGCAAAGACTACCGCACTGAAAGTATTGAACTCTTTTCTGCCCGAGTAATCGAGCATTTTTGCCAAAGCAAGAGGTATGTCGGCTACCTCGTGGATGAAAACACTCAAAGATAGTAAGTTCATCCCGTTCATGGACACGTTATCGATATTTATAAGAAAAACTGCCAGATGATGGCTTAACATTATGTAAAAATCGTGACGTTTATCTAGGGCAAGCAGAGTGTACATTTGGGTGATGTAAAATCCGCAGTCAAAGGCACAGTACCACCAAATTATGACTGGAACTTGTTGATACGGAACGTCTTCGAAGAGCAAAGAGGAATCCCAAACATAATCTTGTGGTAAAACTATGAACAAGCCTGCGATGAAGAAGCAACTATAGAAGAAACCTTGCCAACCCATGTCACAGAACTTCTCCAGCGTTGTCATTTGCGAAGATAAAGCTCTCTGCCGAAGCCATCTTTCGACTGCTCGCTCCGACCAGTTGATGCGCGACGCGGCCGCTGTCAGCATTTGGCGCGGCGGTCGCGCTCGGTTTACAGCATACAAATCTTCAAGAGTTTTGTTGGGCGGTGGGGCAGCGTACGGCCGAGACCTGACGCCAGCTCTCAGGCCAAGAGGCTTCAGAATTAATGGGATGAGGATGTAATCTCTAAAAATGTACAGTGCAGCGCCAAAAATCAGAGCCCATTTCCAAAATTCTGCCAAACTTGGATATGGCTCACCAATTTTTTCTTCGACGTCTTCATATGTGACACCCGATGGCAAACCAAACCATTCCATCCAGGTCCTATTCTTCATGATTTTTTCGCTATTATTTCTCTACTGCTATGGACTGCGACAAAGTAATTTGTAATTACTTTAATTATTTGAAATTAAATTCCGGAGAATAACCAAAAATGTAATAAAATATTTACACAAAGGTATCCTTAATAGCTAATACTTTCAAACCAATCAGGCATATTCAAATAGCAGTAGAAGGCGGTTACTCGTCTCTGAATCTGACATTATTATTATCCGTTCATGAATGAATGGATAATAATAAATTTTATTCATTCACCCACTCCAGATAAAATTTCAATTTCTACGTTTCACCAAAAAATTCTAATGTACAGGATCACTTATGAATTCCCAGATACGTAGTATTAGCGAATGCTCAGGAATTCACTCGCAGATGAGGAAAGCTGCTTGGATTCACTGCAATCTCAGGTAAGTTCCTTTAATTTAAGCGCATAAATCTTGTTAGAGAATACTAAATTAATTCAGTTTACAAAACTCCGCACACATATGTTAGCATAGGAATTGCATGACTTTTATTACAACACTTCTCTTTAACTTCACTTCTTGCTGTTTGTCTGTCTGTCTGTCTGCTACAAATATTATAATCGATATTTAACACACTTCTTCCTGTCCAATTGATCTGAAATTGGCACATTTGCAAAAAGTTGGAGACAATGCATGAATCAATTGACAGAATAAATGATTTTAATTATTAAAGCATTTTTTCAATGTTATAAATCGGTTCAATGTTATAATGTTCAATATTATAATGTTCAATGTTATAAATCAATGTTATAATCGAACCCGGTGGAAGTCTAGTAGCTTCTTCAAACTATCGCCAGTCATGGAAAGATCCGGTCAAATGACACGAGTTTAGATCTATGAACAAGGCACGAAAAGGAAAAGAATCGGCGACAGGCCACATCAGGCCTACACTTCAGCGCCGACATCACTATGTTATGTTATGTTATAAAAAAAATTAAAAAGAATTTTGTCAGCTACAAATCTTATTATCGATATTTGACACACTTCTACCTGTCCAGTCGATCTGAAATTGTGCAAACTTGCGTAAAGTTGGAGACAATGCATGAATCAATTGACATAATGAATAATTATATAAAAATTTTTTCCATTATTAAAAAAAATTAAAAATAGTTTCATCTGCTACAAATCTTATAATCCATATACGATATACGACACAAAATTTGACCTGTCCCATCGATCTGAAATTTTGCACAATTGCATAAAGTCAGAGACAATGCATGAATCAGTTGACAGAATAAATAATTTTGAAAATTTACAAAATTTTGATATCCTTAAAAAATTTTGAAAAATAATTTATTTTAATATTTAAAACTAAAATTAGAAATTCATTGTACATGTGTAACATCCAAGACACTGGATTTTTCAGAAGTGTTGTCTTTAAAATGTAATTTTAAACGCATATTATTCAAGTGTAATAATAGAGAAAAAATGAACTTGTAACTTTTATATAGGCCGCCCGCTGGCCGCTCACTGTTGCAACGGTGCCCTGACTGTGCCGCCCTGAATGACTGTGACTCCACCCGAGATGCTCGTGCCTTATATACGGCAGAAGAGAGGACGCGTGAATGAAGTATCGTGAGGTGTACGAAAGACAGCAGACTTTCGTGACTTTCAATTTAGATATACATACAAACAACGCACTCTGGCGGAGCTAAATAAAAGAGTGCGGGAAAAATTAAACTGTCAATGAAATGCGCGTTACTGCCAAGTCTAGACGGGCGATTTGCAAAAATCTTTGCCAGAAAGTGAACTTGTGATTCAAGCGTTCATAAATTCGTATCGTCTTTAGAATACTTTTCAAAACCTCGATTTTTCTGGCAAATCACTTCAAGTTTTGATCATTGTGATGAAGAATGGATTATTCATCCGTTTCGCCTACAGCCAGCTGTTGGGCATCAGATGACTGACGTTCGCAAAACGCCGAAAACTATATAAGAGAATAAATCCATACGAATGTTGACTGAAGGCTCTTGCATGTATTAGCTATAGAAACATACAGACGTTCGGCAGAAAAAGTTGTGTTCCATACCATGATTAGCGGAAGACATTGAATGGATTACCAATCATCGGGCGCGGTGTTAATTAAGAGGTAAATTGAAGAAACCACGTGAATGCACAGAATTCATGTATTTCCCTGTTCAATGTCTTTCCAGAAGGTTTTTTTATCACACTACATGTATTCTACATGCAGGTAGACTTAATTAATTTCAGTAGATATTCTAAATTAATGAGTCGGTTCAAAGTCACATTGTTCGGCGTTTCAAAAGATATGAATTTAATAGTTATAGTTTGTTTTCGTACAATGCGGATCTAATGGACTCATACGCGGTCTCTATCGCTTAGTTTTCTGAAGCCGAGGGCTAATCTTCCATTTTGTCCTCCGTGTATGGGTTTTCCCTGGCCTGTCGGAAAAAATTCACTCATACAGCATGGGTGCGGGGGCAAAAACTCGAATGTACGGAGGAGCTCCTAGAGATTTTAGGCGCTTGCAGACGTCTAGTTGTATTGCATTTTTTACAGACTGCCTGCTTGACGAGTAATGATTGAATTTTTAATTCTTTAGGATGGATACATAACCTTTTGTTTGATTTTTTAGAATAAGACTTTGTCCCATAAATCTTTTTTTTCTGCTACTGGGAGACGAGCAGGATGCGTTCAGGAAATTCCCGTACTGTTTTAAATCGATGGATTCAATTGGCTGAAGTAGCTTTTGAAAACATACTGCCACTTTTAAACAAAAGAAGACGAACACAATATTTTGCAGTAATGACAATTTACAAGGCTTGTTTTGACTTTTCAATACATCTTAAAGTAAACCATTTAAATAATGTAAGATTGTAAGTACAAACATTTTTTGTGACTGCCAGCGTAAACAGATCTAAGATAACTGGTTACATTGGCATATTTTTCTTTTTTATACGCTCCCGAAAACACTAAGAGAGCTGCGATACCTATTATTTGATAACATATAATATATAGGATTGCAAAATATAAAAATCGATCTATAAAATCTATAAATGAGGCCGAAATTGTCTCGTGCAGTTGAGATCAACGAATGACAAAAAATATAGGTTTAAAAGTAATTTATGAAAAAAAGTAACTTGGCTAGTGAAGAATGTTATTATGCAACTCGTTTACAAACGAAAAGTAAAAAGTCAATGGGTGAAATGATTTGTTTGCTTTAATTTCAAGCTAAGAAGGAAATAAACAAATAACAGGCAAATAAAACGTTGAAAACGTTTCAGGGATCAATTCCAACATCAATTCAAGAACCCAAGAAATAAAAGTTTAACCAATAAAGAAAAGCGTAAGTTGCACGGATTGATTAATTCCTAAATATCGAATGAAAGGGCCAAGAAAACAACATCCATTCGTTTTAAATTTCAAGCTGATGAAATCCCTGAGCGTCGTCTGGGCAAGTTTTCCTCCTAAAAATTTGAGCGATTCACACACCCCAATTTGAGTCACCAGAGGCGAAACCGAAAATCTTTAAAATGCTCCAAGACACTTGGTGACTGGTAGGCATGCAGGTACGCATCAAGAAGGGAAAGATGTGTCGACGTTTCATCAGTTTAAAAATGCTATTCGATAGCGTTTTATGTTACGGGTTTGTTCAGTACCTAGATTAAAACCATTCCATAATAATTTTGCTATTCTCTTTTGTTTGTGCTCGTATTCCTTATTTTAGTTTTCTAGCTGATTCTCGAGCTGGTCATCGTAACGTTTTCAATGAAGATATGATGAATTAACTGAGAATTTTCTTGAATTTGCAAGGTAAAAAATAAGTTACTGAGGGAATTTGTAGCACTGGACAAAAAATATTATAACTACAAAAATTTACTTGTTTTTATGCCTCTCAATTACTTCAAATTCACCTCTCTCAAATCCAACTCAAACAAACATTGATTCTTTTGCCGGATTTACCTTGCTTTCAATATTAGTGATAAAAAACAGAGCTGAATAGAGGCTGTCCATTTTTTAATGTCATATAGAACAATTGTATTAAAAATTACATAGAAAAAATTATGCCATAAAATTTTCCAGCAAAATGTATATCACACTGTTAGAAGAAAACGGGCGAAAATGTGTAATACACGTTTCTTTTCGACGCTCAATAACCATAATCTGGTCATTCGGTTATTTACCGTGGTTTGTTAGACTTCAGCGGTAGATGGCGGCAGTTCGAGTTCGAGATCATACCTTGACGCCAACTTGAGTGGAAGACATCGTTAAAGAGCTGAATTTATACAATTTATTTTTGTTGGTTTATACTAATTTTTGTAGTTTGCTGTGATTTTTATACAAATGATAAGGTATCGTGTGTTATTCAGTTGAGTTGCACATATTTGTTCTTCCATTCCTTGAGTGTTGATACTTTGAGTTGAGTTGGTTCGACATCACTCATCATCAGTCGATTGCTGAACTCTTTAGTCTACCAGCCAGTGATGCTTTACACCGAGGTTGAGGAGAAACACCCTGTTATTTATTAAATTATGATACTCTCAGGATATAGTGCTTCTATTCTTATGGAATTCAAATAGTTTTTATTGAGGGCTTTGTCGAGTTGGGTGCAGTAGGGACTAGGGAGGGGGCCTGGGCGAATGTTGACTTCAGCCAGTTTAGTCTTTAGTGAAAATTTGTCGTTGACGATTTACACTGCTCACAAAGTAGTTTTTGTGGGAGGTAATAAATGAGCAGGTCCGAATATCATATTGTATTGGAATTTTCGCAACTGAAGCTTCCTTTATTAACCTTGCTGACATTTTTTGTTAAAAAATGAGCCTGCTTCTTGAAATGTAGATGGCTCATCAACCCTATAGTGTCACTGTGATAGTCTCTTTTATAGTTAACCAGTGAATTAACTAACTTAACTTGGTTGATATGTTTTGATTATATCAATTTTATATGCCAAAACTTCAGATTATTGCACAACTTGAAATATGAATCTTATCACCATTGTTAGCCCATGCCCATCATCAATGTCTAAATATTTCTACTGTGCTACTTCAAATTCTGTGATCAGGTAGGAATTAAAATCACAGGTTATGTCACAAGGTTGGCAACTTGGCTGACCTGAAACAAATTTTGTCCACTCTTCAATAAGTGAAACATTCAGTATTGTTACCCTATTATTCTTATCATAATAACATGCTAAAATTACTAATATTAGTAACAATAAAGGTTCAGTTGGGAATAATAATT